AAGCCCATGGAACCGGAAGAATTCATCGACAATAATTACGCGGCCGAGAGTGAAGAAGAAGAGGAAGAAGAGGAGTCAGAACCATGTGAATGTGTTGTTGATGACCATGCAAAGCACTTTGGTCATCATTTAGACTGTGTCACTATGGAGAAGCTCATTCTTTTATTGCTGTTTGCTCGTCACGTTTATCCAGAAATTGCCAATAGCACTCAGAAGCCTGGTTGCAAGTGTCAACAGTGAATTATGTGTGGAGTGAAGTGAAGATAAGGAACAGGCGCCTTTCCCTGCATGTGTAGTTTAGTTGATTTATTGCTTAAGCACTTTTCTTTTTTTTCTTGCCTGTCCTTCTTAATCAATAAACGAAATTGTTAAACTGTATTGCTTTATTTATTACAAATTAACACCTAGCAGCATTGTCGATTCTACTCGAATTTCGTGAATACAAAACTCACTCTCAACTAAAACGGACATTTAATCGCAGCTGAACAAATCACGGTCATATTAGAGTTCTCAATTTGGTGATGTGCATTTGTAAAATTGAAAAATATTGAAAAGATAAAGGCATCCACTAGACAAGCTCCCGTTGATAGGTCCTCTTCAGCTGTATTACACTGCATCCAGTGGACTGGTCGAACGATTTCATTGGCTGTTAAAAGTACCAATTATTTCGGAAAATGCATGCGTCACACAGTTGAACTCTCTACCCCTTACCATTTCGACTATTAGTGAAACAAGGTATCAACTCAACTCAAGTCAAACTTCACAGTTCGGTGAGAATAGAGTCCGGCACCACTGTTAGCCTCGCGTCACCAATTGGAAAGCTTCATGAAGGGAATTCAAAATTGTCACGCCACTCTTGGGGGATATGCCTGAAGTGGCGTTCCAGCAGAAGCGAGTCTAAACGGCGACGACGACCTCTTATGGTGGACTGTCAGCGCTCACGCGGAAGTGAGGCCTGTTCGCTGACCTGATAGTGTCAATGACTCATCGCTAGTGCGTTGGTTACTGTTATCAGCCGCCTGTCATCCGTTCATTCATTCACACACTTGGCAGGCGCGAAGCTAATAAACGTTCGTGTCCTCTGTCTCCTCTTGTTACACTCTTCTCGGGTTGTTACGGCCTGTTAACTAGAGGGTTGTAAGGTAGTGCTAAGCAAGTCACCACACCCTAATCTTTCATTGGCTTCTACACGCAGGTAATCACCTTTATTTGCTAGTACTTTATAAAACCACCCACGCACATTTCAGTCTAGCCTATTAAGACCAGAAAAAGAAGAAAGTTGCTCATTCTGGGTCTTGTAGTCCTTTCGCTTTCGTGGATTCAGTGTTAACCTATCATTAGAATCTTAAGCTAGCCACATGTTTGCCGGTATAAACTCTTGATCCTCTGGTTAACTAGCGGTTTAGATTTGTCGCATTCGTGACAAAGCGAGGCTGATGTAGTCAACCCTTGTGTTAGTACAGCCCCAGTTGGTTTTGAATTTGTTCATGCCAGTCAACCCAGGGAATCGTCATTTCTTGAAGTCGATGTTAATCAAAATGGAAAGATTTCCACTAGTGTTGCAGTCTTGAAGAATTGCATACAATATACATTTATAACCTTAGTTCACATCCTGGACTTACATCAAACATAATTCGTCAGTTGCTTGCGGCAAGTGTTTACCTGATTATAGTTAATCAACGAAGCATGTGATTTAATAAAATAATTCCGTAATAAAGCGTCAATCCTAGAGCTGATAGTAACTTTTCTCAGATCTTTTCGTAAAAAAGCTAGTAGTTATCAGAAGTTGCGATGCCAACGTCTTAGGAGAAGCTAGGAAATTAATTTTAGACCAATGGAGACAATTATAGCAGTAGGACCATTCATCAACATAAGGAGGATTGAAATTCAATTCTCGCAGATATTTTAGTTGAACATACACAGCCAAAATAGATTTCGCAAAGATTTGTAAATCCAAGAATTCACATCAAGTGGCGCTAATTACATTCGAGTTAGACATGACCTAATGACTTCTACAATTCCACCTCCTGACACTAATCGTCGGTTTCAATATATCGTAATGACAATTAGAATGCGTATTGCAGGTAAAATCTATCATTCTATCACGCTGTTTAGTGGGGTTGTAGGCTTACTTTAATAAGCCTAGTGCATGTTCTTAAATTTTTCCAATCATTACCCAACAACATCAATTATAAAATTCCTAAATTTCGAATCTGTGTACATTTCTGAATATGCACAAAGTCAATTTCGATTCGTGCAATTTCCGATGAAATATCTGCTACTGAGAACAAGACAATTTTACAAATACATGGCTTCAAATTGAGTGCCTCGAGCAAGGACTTCCTCCCGTAGTAATGGTATTGTAGGAATTAATGCCACAGCAAAGGAAATCAGACAGTTTGAAAAGATAGTTTATTAGTTTGGGCGGACAAACAATTAAAACGAGCAGTTGAATTAACCAAAACAGGATATGACTAAGCTACATTTACGAAAGAAAGCTCCTGCTCTACTTTACAGAGCCCACATTTTCAAACGACATAACGTTTAACCAATCAATGTTGACAATTGCAAACAGACTTTTGAACTCCGTTGACAATTTCTGGGTAAATATGTTGAGAAGAAAGAAATAGGAAAATGAGCTTCTCCATCGTGACACAGTCTAAATGATGACCAAATTGATCTCCACGGTCGTCAGAAGTGCATTCACACTTCATTGGCTCTTCACAACATTGCTCCTCGTCGTCCTTCACGCATCCATTCGTGTCCGTTTGCGCGTCGTGTTGGATGCGCTTGCAGATGCATTCCACTAATTCCGGAGGGATGCAATTGGCGAAGTGCTCCAGAAACTTACACATCTTCATTTCATAACATTTTAGGTAGGGCTTGGGCTCGTGTTCGATTTGTTTTACCTCCACCTCTGGTACATCCAACGCACTGTAGCTGTCAATCGTTTGGTTCTGGCCCTCATTCCCTTCCTCACAGCTACTAGGTCGTGGATCGGAGTGCGCGATGTCTGCAGGCGCCTCGTCGTCCTTCACGCATCCATTCGTGTCCGTGTGCGTGCCGTGTTGGATGCGCTTGCAGATGCATTCCACCAATTCTGGAGGGATGCAATTGGTGAAGTGTTCCAGAAACTTCCGCATCTGCATTTCGCCACATTCCACGTGGTGTTCTGGCTCGTGTTCGATTTGTTTTACCTCCACCTCTGGCACATCCAATGCACTGTAGCTGTCAATCATTTGGTTCTGGCCCTCATTCCCTTCCTCACAGCCACTAGGTCGTGGATCGGAGTGTGCGATGTCTGCAGGCGTCTCGTCGTCCCTCACACTCGCATTCGCGTCCGCGTGCGCGCCCTGTTGGATGCGCTTGCAGATGCATTCCACCAATTCTGGAGGGATGCAATTGGCGAAGTGCTCCAGAAACTTACACATCTTCATTTCATAACATTTTAGGTAGGGCTTGGGCTCGTGTTCGATTTGTTTTACCTCCACCTCTGGCACATCCAACGCACTGTAGCTGTCGATCGTTTGGTTCTGGCCCTCATTCCCTTCCTCACAGCCACTAGGTCGTGGATCGGAGTGCGCGATGTCTGCAGGCGTCTCGTCGTCCTTCACACTCGCATTCGTGTCCGTGTGCGCGCCGTGTTGGATGCGCTTGCAGATGCATTCCACCAGTTCGGAAGGGATGCAATTAGCGAAGTGTTCCAGAAACGTACGCATCTGCATTTCGCCACATTCCACGTGGGGTTTGGGGTCGCTTGCTTGGTTTTCTTCAATAATATCCCAGTGCTCAGATTCATATTCCGTTCGTTCCTGCTCCATTACTCCTTCAAATGCTTCCCTTTTGGATCCCTTCTTTTGCATAAATCCACTAAATCGTTTGTAGCCTTCATTTTCGTCCGTTACAAATCTTTGAAACATAGCTCTGCTCTCGTTGTCCGTATATGTCATTTTCCCTGCAAATTTCGTCTTCATTGTTTTGCTTTGTCTTGTTCCAAAACGTTGCGTTTTGCCTACTTCGGTTGTTTGTGGATTTTTCTCGTCCACCTTTATTTCCTCGTTGTGTGTCAGCATAATCCTTTTCTTCTTGATTACGTCCTTCCTCCAGATGCCGTATTATTGTTATGATGCTGGCTGCTTAAAGGATAATCAGCTAAACATGTTTGCGTGATCTCGTGTACTTGATCTCCTCGTCCCAGACACGTGGCATGTCATATTTTTTTAGTACATCAATTTTTAGTTTAAATTTTCCTGAGTGCATTGTTTGCAGGTGACTAAGAGGATGTTTTGAAAAAGTCCTTTTGTAACCATACTGCTATAAGCCCATCAGGTTTTACTACATCGTGATTTCTGCTGTAGTTAATACTGTTCACTAATAAGCTTTAAATTGGAGTGGAAACTTCCGTCCAATTCTCAATGCTAATAAAATATTTGTTACCCATTCGTACTAATATTACCTCCATACTGGACCACAAAGTAACAATGTAGAAGGCGATTTTGTGACAATGTCCACTGTTTCAATGCAGAATTCTCGAAATGGCATTTTTTAAATGCGTGCTAAGACAGGACCACAAGCTAATGGCTAGATTTACGCTATAGTGACAAAAACACTTTAACTGAGCGAGTCGATGTCAATTTATTGTGCCAGAAGTCATCCGCTGCATTAGTATATTTTCAAACATCCATGCTTTTTCTATTACCTGTAGTGAACTGTGTCGAGTCGCGTCCATTAACACGGTCGTCGCCGTCTCAAACACATGTCCCTTTTTCGCGGCTTGCCCATCAGTCATGTGGAACCGTCTGCTCATTCACCCCATGCATTTACCGCCACTACTCGCTTTACTCGTCTGACCATTCTGACGTTTTTATTTGTACTAGTTCACGCAGACTGAATCGGTCATACATTACCTTAAACACACTCACACGGCATGACACAACTTGGTTGAGTTATCTTGTAAATGGTTGTGCCTTACTCTCTCCGGCCTTCTTCTTCTTCATCATTTTCGGTGGTATCAGGGCGGAGTGATGAGGCGAGTTTCAATGCAGTGGTCCCAGCGCGATTTGAGACTGCATGTGGAATTCTCGATAACTGGTAACCCCAACATGATAACCCACAAAATACTCAAATAAGGGAGTAAATCGGTCATTCACTACCTTTAATACACTCACACAACATGACAACTTGATCGAGCTATCGTGTAAATGGTTGTGCCTTACTCTCTCGGGTCTTCTTTATCGACGCGGGTATCAGGGTAGCGTTAATGGGGCTAGTATCAAAGCAGTGGCCCCAGTGTGGTTTGAGACTACATGGGAAACCCTTAATAACTGGTGACTCCGACATGATAGCCCACAAATTGCTCAAATAAGGCAGTGAATCGGTCATGCACTATCTTCAATGCACTCACACGACATGACACAACATGATTGAGCTATCTAGTAACACTCCAAAACGCAACAGCTTTAAATCTCTACCCTGTTGCTACAGTAACTAATGTTTCAAAAAATGTGCATACTTAAAGAGTCAATTTGTGAATGAGTCTAGTTGACACTTGCCACCAATACCACTATTTATCTGGAGGCTACACAAGTTACCACTGTGATCGTCCTAATCAGATCAACAGAGATCCTGCTTTTGACATCAAGTTTATGCAATGTAACGCAGACGTTTCCAAGGTTTGCTAACCAACTAATGCGTCATCTCTATTTCGTGAAATGAATCGTGCTGATTCACGCTTGTTAATCTGGTCCCTTTTAAACTACCGCCCACTAACTTCATGATAGACAAGTGAAAGTCACTTTAGAAGCTCACAGTGACCCATCTCATTGGACGACCGCGTTGCTCCTCGTGCTTCTCGGTATTCAATCAGACGTGACGGAAGACCTAGGTTGTTCCGCTGCAGAAATGTCTTCGGAACAACAATAGGACTACCTTGTCGATTTGTCTCCGCAACTTCCCAAGTGTCATGGCCGCGCTCAGACAATTACGTGGATGAATTATGGAAAGCAAAGAACGAACAAAAATCCACCGAATTTAATTCATCTCTTACCAGTTCCTACACCCTATAGCGCAGCTCTCGTGCACCAATGATTTCTTTGGGCACGATGCTATTTGTCGCCAGCTTCAACTCACCTACGACGCATCATTCAGAGCAGTCAGATGAGAAGGCACCGTATCTGTGGATCGTTTATAGATAGGTTTCCTCGATAAGGAGTTGCCGCCAGACGGTAAACCCCAGGAGCAGCCAGCTCCCGCCCCTTTTAACAGTGAACAGACAGTTACCACTACACTCTCTGGCAGACGCGTTCATTGGCCGTCAATCTCGACTGGCTTACTTTTGTTCTAGACCTTCAAACAGTTTTTCTTAGCGACTTTTCAGGTTTCAAACACTTTCAGTACAACTCTCTATGACATCCATATCGCAACCACACAAAACCGATTGTCTAACCGTCAGGAATCCTGTTAGTAGTGAAGGTTCGTCAATTCTTATCGCTGAAGGGGAAAGCTGTAATGAATCGTGTTGATTCACGCTTGCCAATCCGGTCGCCCCATTCATCAACCCACTGGTCCCCTTTACACCTATGCAAGCTGCCCACTCAATCACCCACCTGCTACACTTTCACGGCCACCCAGATTAATGGACCAGCAATGACTAATGAGGTCATTTGTGCCTGCGAACACAACAAATACACAAGCTGGTTAACCTATGAAATAAGCGACCCTGTCCTCTCTCGTGGCTGCCTTGGCTTCTTTGTGTTGAATCGTACCTTATTGTCACGGTTGATATTTGTGTTCCCACCCACAAATAGTGGATATTTGCGCCTTTTAAAAAATTACGATGTTTCTACCCGTCCTTAACTTACCGTTCCGGCGTGTCTACAATACTTCCTTGAACGTAACCAGCAAGATATTTAACTTCCGAGAAATAAGGAAGTAGTAAGTAAATAATACCAAACGCCAGAATCAACCATTTGCCCAGTATTGTGTTTCAAAAGTCTCATTCGTCACTGACCACGAGATAAACTCTAATTCACAAACATTTTTTCCTTTATTATCGGATTCTTTTGTAGTGTCCGTGTTTATAGACTCTGGCGGAAATGATTTGGACGTCTGATAACGTAGTGTCATTTCAGTATTGGAATCGTAGCATGTGTACACATACAAACCTACTTAAACATAGGTCATAATATCGAAAATTCCTGACTTTTGAGTGGTAGAACAAACGTTCGAAAATCAGAAACGTATAAATTCTTCTTTGCTGCATAATATTTAATAAATAATCGTGATTACTGCCGTCGACACCAGTTGTGCTACAACGGGGACCATTATACGTCTGTCATGCTATGTTTGTTTGCCAAACTTACTCTGACAAACAGCAACCGATGTACTTAAGAACGAGGGTACTTAGGTTGCAAGCTTAGCTAACTCTTGTCGTAAGCAATGTTTTAATCGAGAGGGTCATGCAAAAGCGTAACATGATGTTTTATTTCCGGTCCGGTCAGTCAATATAACCACAAACGTACATTGTTCTGGAATCTTCCAAAACCGCTTGGCACCAAATATTCTGTTTACCCAAAGGCACACACCATTTAGGCTTTCTACAGAAATCGGCTACTACAAAATTTCTAGTAGCAGGGCTGCACTTGATTTTGCCATTGTATTCACTGCTCTCACTGCGTCGACAATCGTTCGTTCAGAGATCGATGCTTAGCGGAGCTATATAAACGCACCTGCTATCCTGTACATTAACACACCGCAACTGTATCTATAAATTGGTTGAGCTACGCGCCACCTGCATTTCCATTCTTCTTTCGTTCAGGCCGTGTCAACGTAGATTGTCTGCCCTTGTGGGGTTTCCAAAGCCGCACCGGGGCCCGCTGAGTGTTCAAACAGCTAGTGTGTGCAGCCGCAGAGCCCAAGATTGATTAAAATATTCTTTTAATTGATATTCGCATGCATTCCGTTGGTTTTTTTAAACAGATAATAATCTGAACAAAGCTATACTGGGACATTAGACAGTTTGCTACATTATTAACTGGATTGATTAAATAGATCTTAAAAAAAGATCTTGTTCTATTGTGTTATCCAGGCACATCGTTGTGTTTCCAAGCAAAACTCACACATTACATTTACGTCAGATTTTGCTTTATTCACTAACTTTTTGCCTTGATTCTACAATACCACACAGTTAAACAAATAGAAGACTTGCAATTGAAAAAGAAAAATTTGTGTCCAGTAGACAAACCTCAAATCGCTTCAAGATAAAATAATAAAATTGATGGCACACAGGTTAACTCTTGAGAAGTTGTTCGGAAAGGAGACAAGAACCTCGTAATCAAGAGCACAGCAGGTTATTTCCTACCAGCGTAGGTGTCATTAGTCGTTAAAGATATTAAAGGTTGCACTGCATTGTTATTCGGTGTTTTTTGGTTTAATTAGCTTTATACGTACCTCACCGAAGCTAGATTTCAAGAAAACCCACACAAAAGTTCAAATTTACTTAGTTCATCAGTTGTACTTTATCAGTAAATCTAGAAATTATGACTTTTTGCAGGTGATAAAATGTATACAAAACTAGCGTAAATGAATCTCAAGTCAAATCACAACCGCAAAAAATTAAAACTCAATTTACTTTCATTTGATATACATAGGTAAATTCTTTATGTCATTAAAATCCGAGAATGGAGATTGATACGAAAATAATAACATGGTAACCGCTTGTTATGTTTAACGGGCAAAAGAGATACTGTAATTGTGAGCTTGACGATAGATTGCTGATGAACAACTAATCAACTGATTATTAGGTTCACGATTCAGAAAAAAACTCTAAAATGTCAAATGGTAGATTATTGAGCCCGCAAACAGAGTTGCACTTTGGCGAGGCTAGTAAACAAAGTACAATTAAACAGAACGCGCAATCCTCGTATGATGTGAAATGGAACTTTCATCAAAGGATCTCTCCCCAGTAAGGGTAGCATAATGGTCAACATGAAACATGTTTCTAGAAACAGGATGGAAATATGTGAATTTAGATCATTTGTGCATGCAAAATTTAGATGAAAAAAATAGGTTGATTAAATAACGGACAATGTTTAGAACGAGAAAAAGGCACTAAAATGCATAAAGTTTCATTTATTTATATGATACCACTCATTTACACATTGGCATTTATTCAAGAAATGTTTACTATTCATCTCCAAACTTTACATAAACCTATCTGGTCTTTGTGTTATATTGTGGTTTTAACATCTAACCGAAATCCTAAATTGGGTTTAACGACTGAACATAAATTTGTAGTAACAAAAAAACGTATAAATCTTTAGTTAATTAATTAGATCTGTTACTATTTTAAGCATCTTAAGCTATCCGCCTAAGTTAATATGGAAGTTGATTTGTTGATAAGTCAATTTCAAAAGATACAAATTGAAGGATAAATTTCATCAAACTTTTTGCCGTGGATAATTATTACAAATTAGACCATAATAGCAAAAGCATTCTTAGATTTGCACACATAGATCCGAAATTGCAAAAATATGATTTTAAAACAAGTCAATTCCGATGAAATTGATTGGTTAGGGTTGTTCTGTCCGGTCTTTTCGTACGAGTGTGTATCTTGTAGGTATCCCCTTTTTTGGCGTAAATAGAAATAAAACAGCCTCCTTAATATTTGTAAAACATATAACGTTATAGTATTATATTATTTTCCTCGTGATGTTAATTATTCTTGGTGCTATAAGGCATTAATTGTGTGCGCTAATGACTTTCACGATTTGTTCATTGTCTCGGTCCTTGTTTAGTGTTCGGTTAAATCGCGACTCCTTTTTTATTAGTTTGTAAGAACACGAACATAAATTTGTTTTGTGTAGATTCTTGCTAAATGTTCCAAATTTCAACTTTTTCGAAGGTGTGTTCGGTACCCATAAGTCATTTCGACACATCATTATCCTTAAAACGGTGTAATTTGTGTTTACTTGACAAAGGAAATAGCAGATTTATCTGAGTAGGCTTGGGCTTTCCAATCGGCTTCCTTAGCTTTATCATTAGCCTATTTTGATAATATAACTGGCGCTGTTTGTAATTTTGGAAAACTTATACGCTTCTCTGATATTACAGGGGTTGGTGTTATATGTACTGCTTGCAGTATCGACAGCAAATTGCCGCTCAGTGGTTCCTCTCTAACATTTCTCTGGATGGTACCTGCACTGGCACTTCCAAGAAGCCTTGTACCGAGGAAGGTAAGTGTTTATTTATGTAGAGGCGTGATAATCGGTTTATAGCAACTTATTATCATGTCATTTGTGAAAACGCATCTTGCAACCACAATTATTCAACGGGTTTCCATTCCTGACAATAAAATATGGCGGCCTTAAGGAGCATTCTTGAACAAATCTAATGGATTTATGGATAATATTGTACATATTTTATTAGCTAGGGTATCTTATTTTGACTTTTTGCGTTATTGATTTCAGGTACACTTGTACAGCCGTTCCTTGGAGCCGATGGTACTGAGTATGCAAGGAAAGATCCTTCCGAATCTGGTAGCACGCACGCCGTTAGTGAGAAGTAAGGTCACGTTCTTAACTAAACTGTAGTGATTCTAAGACTCATTCCTTGTTGGCATTTTAGATTATTTTGTAGTTTTTAAAAGTCCAATTTGGTTGGGTCCTTGAATCCCTCGGTTTTTAGCTCTAGGCTCTGCCCTACGGCGGAAGTTAAATTGTTCGCATTCGCAAGTGATGTGTTTTTACCCACAGACACTTCCAACACAAATTTTGTTAATGCCTTCTAACATCGTCACACGGCGTATTTGGTGGTCCTGTTTAACAAAATTTAGCTAAACATTCTTGGAGCAAAGCATGAACACCAAGCCACTGATTTATAGTAAGGGAGTTTACATCTGCTCGTTTGTAATGACTCTCTCTACCTTCACACTTTGCGTTTCTGTATTTTATCATTTTTGTCATCTTTTTAGTCCATCACCATCAAGCAACGAGAAATTCGACCTGTGTAAGTTTCAGTCAGACTTTTTTTTTAAAAAAAACTTAACAGTAAATCACGTCAAGCATGCAGTGTGAGTGGTAGGGAAAAGGTGGGTTGGGACTCAGGGTTAGTGAAGTGTTTTCTTCACTTTCCGCCCTACTGACTGAGATACGCTTCAACAAATTCCCTGTTTTTTTACATAATTTACTTAGATTTCTGAAAATGCCAGGCTTGCTCGCCAGTGGGTCGTTGGATGTAAACATGTGTAACATTTAATTGGTGTTCGCGAGCTCTACTTTTTCCCCTCAAGCAAATTCATTTTTTGCAGGCCCTATGTCGTTCACTGCAAGTTTAGCATTCCTACATATTTTAGTCGTAATTAAAGACTATAGAATTTTTTAAACCATATTATATGTCGACGTCTCAGCTTTTGATGCTGCTCTTGGTGCACTATTGAAAATTCACGATTGGTTTGCCAGATCCACAGGAAAAAGCCCCACTCCAAAGTCGTGAAAGTTATAGGATCTTGTTGATTATCGTTAACTGTTATTTCAATTACCAACCTCATTGGTCAACGTCATCTGTGATTTTCAGCAGTGAGTTACTCCGGGCTTCTTTCCCTAAAGCCTAAGCCAAATGTGGCTTCATGATATATTTTTCCTGTTTAGGACGCATTTGGTGTTCTTTCTATTCCACTCAAGTTTGGTCATTAACTTCAAGTCAATTGAAATCATTATCATGTGCAAATGACGCCTCTTAATCGTAAGATTGATTGAAATAGACACTTCCATCCCCCTACATTTGGGACCGTTTAACGACGAACAGTTGCTTTGACAATTTGCCCTTACTTTTCTTTAAGCTGCCTGGTGTGGGGAAATCTTGGGTGCTCTTTTTGCTTCAATTTTGATAAAGACTAGGCTTCTGTCCTTTTCCTTAATCCCAGGTCATTCGGAGGAGCTAACCTCGCTATGGCAAAATGCGTGTCACAGCGCGAGCACCCACGACTCGTCTGAGCATGCGGCTGGGTCGTTTCGGCAACGAGTTAGGTCGTGTGGTGCTCCACAACGGTCGATGTCATCGGTGACTGGACTGCCTCTTGCCGACGAGGAGGCGCTCAGTCCTCATGACAACAATTCTTTCCGGTTAGTTCTTGGCATTTGAAACCTCAACACACTTGTTTTAGCGTGTGCTGCAAATTCGACCCCACAATATCACTACCTTCATGGCTCCGGTGTTATTATTAGTAGCTTTAGGCCCACAGTGTTGCAATTTTATCCAAATCGCGATATAAGAGGTGCGGTGTCGCCTCCTGTCCGCTGCCTCATGACTTTCTGCAACTTTTTGCTCAGCGCATTTAGGGAAACAAATGTTGTATCGTCTATCTAAGTAAACTCCGGAATGTCACCTTACATGCCTATAAGGTAATGCACGATTTTTCTGCGCTGGGTCTGGCGCCCGATAAGCGATCGGAGTTTGAACACACGTATTCTCAGAAACTGTCATTTTTAAATTTTAAATCCCGAAGAATGTGTATGCCCATTAGATTACCCTGCATGATTTGTTTAGTGTTTGGACCTTTGAATCCAATTGCAGCGCCTCAATTTTGTTCACATTTGCGGATAGCTTATGGCTTTTGGTCGGATTTTGCGGATTTATCTTAATTGCCTATCGTGTCCGTTTTTAATTTATTTAAAAAAAAATAAAGGCCAATCAGTGGATGTGGTCGATTTGCGCCCTCCCTCGTGAATCTACTAGTGTCTTAAGGCGAAATGCCTTTAGCTTGAAATGAAAGTCATTTCGTTTAAATACGGCTGACGAGATGTCTCTGGCTTGTGTTCGTGCATCGTCGTGTTTTTTTTTCAAGTTGGCACAATCAGAGTACCATGTTAGGTGTATTCAGAAAGGTTTCGTTGTACTCATTTTATGCTTCTGCCCTTCCTAAACCAGCTTCAATGTTTTTTTTAAAAATAATCTGACAGAAACAAGTCAGCGCTTTTAGACTGGACAATGTCGTGGTTAGTGACAGGGGGTACCTGAATGCGTCCATAGAGGGGTGTTGTAGGCCCCAGCATGTGGTCGTGAACCACGCTGGGGCCACTGAATTGACCCCGGCCCGATTACGCTTGCCTGATATCCGCGATGAAGAAGACATGGACGTGGACGCAACCGTTTACCTCCGAGCTCAACCACGTTGGTGTCGTTGTGTCGTGTGTGGGGTTTGCACGTGTGTATTTATACCTCGGATGTGTGAGTCATAAATGTGTGAACATCGAGACCTAGGTGTGAGGCTAATCCAGGATAAATATCTGTGTGAATGAGGGGGGAGTTGAGGATCTGCGCGGCTGGCGAGACACGCTGCGAAAAGAGGAACCCTGTGTCGGAGGTGGGGCGATCGGATTGAGGGGTGTGAATAAACACGATTCACGACAGGGGATGTTGGAAGCACCCTGGACCCTCGCATTGCCCTGTTAAGTCACCAGAAGCAGTCCTCTGACATGAAATCTAGCCAAGCACTTCCGGCGCGAAGTTGACGGGATTTTGCAGCCAGATGCATTTGAGAGGTCTCACCGACTCTCATGCTAATAAATATTAAGTAGCGGGAAATGAGGATGGTGTGGACATTAGCTTAGCTGTCGGGTGCACGCAGCAAACACGGTGAAAGTTTGGTGAAGTGCTAGCGGCTCACATTCTGGGTGTCCTCACAAATGGCAACTTCGTTAACCCGCGGATAGTGCAATACCTCAAGTACCGCAAGTACTCTCACACAGCCACCGAGTGACTTAAACCACGGGATTTTCACTTCCTAGCAGTGGAAAATCGTTTACGGTCTAGATTCTCTAACGGTGGTGAATTTTTGTTAGATGTGAAAAACCCGGCCTTTCGAATTGCACGATTATTCGTACATTTAAAAAAGGCTTTATTTTAATGATTTTATCCGGCCAGGATTCCGTGACTTGTGGGGGGGAAATCCTCATTTATATTTTGAATGTTTACAAGGCTGATATTTGCTGCTGGTCCTTTTATCAGTAGTCAATAAGAGGCTGATGGCTCTCGTCTTAATTCCAGGTCTACGATGAAACGACGTGTCTTCCTCTCTTGCAATTACTCTGAAACTGTTGTGCGCTGTCAGAATTGTTGGCCGATCACTTCGCAATTAGTTTTTGTGTGTTTTTATTATTACCGCATTGGAACGTGTCATGTTTTTCTAAACCGCTGTTTCTTGTGTTTGTTTTTTGGGCTGTTGTTGAGCTAATCCGTTCACTTTGATTAGCGCTTGAAATTACCGTCAAGCCAATAGGTCGCTTTGCTTAATAGCTTGTGAGTGTCAGAACTTCATCGTTTGCCACTAGCGCTTAGTTCAAACAGTTTCAGTTGGTTTTGAGTTGGGAAAAAACGTGTCGAATTCCGTCTTCTGTTGTCTAACGGGCTTTACAAGAACCCAACTTTCATCAAAGTACCTTTCGCCAGAAATGACGCGATCGATTTACGCCCGGAGATCAACGTCGACCAACGCCTGTCGGACCAGATTCTTGGTGAAATCTCTTCCCACTCCTAATGAAGGCCTTAATCACAGTTTTGACAAAACACTACGAGCCTTGCCTCCTTCCACGGTGTAGAGATTGCACGTCTAGATAATGCATGCTTCCTTGCTTGCTATAACTTGTGGCTCTGTTTTCGAAACACGAAAAAATCCTTTCTGTCTTGTCTGAGGTCTTCAAAATGGAGGCTTCAGTTGAACACGTCTGACTACCAGTATCTATTTCAATTGATTCCAGGCCTAAAATTTGTTACGTTATTGACGCAGCTTTTTGTTCACAAACCAATCTGTCGTGGAGTAAGGACGCCCAAATACCTATGCACTTTGCTCATAATATTTACATCACGATAAATTACCGCGGACCTCATAAGGCGGCAAATTTCGAAATATTAATTGGTGTAATTATATGTCTAATATTAATGAATCCCCGTGTCTGCGTCGTTGGTTCTGATAAAAGACCGGGAAAAAAAAACATTTTTTAACTGTTGGTTAATTGGAAGTTGTTGTCTACTCATAACGCGTTTTTTTTCCTCTTACACGATTTGTTGTCGATTCCACTTGATTCGCAGATATTATCACAGGAAAGCTTTTTTGAAGGGTAACTTCATTATCGTCGCAACAATTCCCACTATTAATTCCTGACTGGGTCGGTATTATTCCAAGTGACATACGGAAAGACAGGTTTCCTTAGGGGAGATGTTTTCTACGTCTCGTAACAGTTTTAACATCAGGGAACTTCGTTTTTTGTGAAACACACCATGCTAGTGTATTGTAAACTGTTTATCAGTGGTAGAAACATCTTAAATGCGCGATTTAACTTGCTGTTGAATGCTTTAGCCCTGCATCTGCAACTACTACGAATTGACTTATCCTAAAAAGCCCCATTATCCGAATTCCTGAATTAAGGTGCTGTATAATTACAGTTATCTGGTGACCCGTGTATGTTACATTAATAATGAGCTATTCGCAGGTTTATGTGTTTGTAACATTCAGGCTTGTTTAGAAGCATCCATCATCGATACCTCCGTCTTATCGGCATCCTGGTGACGCTTTGTACACGTTTATTTATTTTTTAAAAGGCGCGTGTTATGTAATTCGGAATCGGCGTCGCCTTAACTGAAACGCCTTATTTAGTGATATAATTTTCGCGTGTCTTGTCCATAGCCACACCATTGGTCTACCGACAAGAGGCAAATACTTCAGGGCATATCGATTTGATTGGTCACAATATTCTGGGAATTGGCGCAATTCTCCTCCACGCCCACCTAATCAGTTCTTTTTTTCACGATTCATGAGCAGTTAGAAATACGCTTTACCGTGCGTGTTGGCCTTTCAGAGAAATCGTTTGGTGTTTTTTTTTAACTACAATAGCTCCTGTCCGGTAAATTTTTTCTGTCACTTAAGCCCCTTTCTGTTAGTTTCAAATTTTGTCTCGGTTCCGGCGAGGGTTGTTACTCCAGGTTTTCTTTCCTGCATTTCAACTCTCTTATGGATGGACGTGGTTAAGCTTCCTCTCTAAGGGTAGGCATCTTACGTGAGATTTGACTAATTGATGTCTTGTGTGTAGTGATCGCTAAGAGATGCGTTCAATAATCGAATTCCCGTTCCGATTAACAGGAGCTTAATGAGGTTTTGTAAAGTCCATCAGCTTACTACAACCTACACAAGTATCATGATCGGCCTACGATAAACTTAACTTGAAAACTCCTTAAAATCGATTTTCGACATGTCGCGATCCGTTTTGAGGGCTCCATCACCGTTGACGCCGGGGTCAGTTGAAAAGGGTTCCGTTGTCTGGAATTAAATCAGTGTTGTTTTTGCCCCAGTCCTCGTCGAAAATCTAATCGGGTTTCTTAAAAGCGTGTTATCTCAGAGACTAGTTCGAATCTAATATTGAATTGAGAAATCCTACCTCTGCCTTAAAGCGCGTAGACTAAGACGATGGCTTTGGTTATTCCACTGAAAAAATGGTTGCAGATGTGGTTTACTGCTTTTGCTGACTATCCAGTTAAGTAACTTAGTACAATCCCATATTTCGATAAAATTGTGTGCATATTTTCGTAAAAAAATTGACATTTCGCTTGTACGTCCGTGGTTATAACATTTTACGGAAAGCAAATCCTGATATAAAAAGATTGGGGAAATTAACATTTTCTGGGAATCAGTGCTTGCCACTTGTACAAACGACTGCCCCTTAGCGCCTGTCAATACCTTTTTTGTTTGGCGTTTTTGTTAAGGCATGCTATACTTCTTCCGAACAGGCAAAGCGGCTGGAATCTTAGTTTAGGTTTGATGTGGAATCTGAATTGAATCATGTTGAAGACGTCTAGATTCTGTCGACCTCTTGACAAACTAATGGACACCAAAATAGCTGCCGATTTTGGCAAACTTCCTCCTTGTTGTTAAACTCATCGCGTATTCTTGGTTGTTGGGTGTGAACATAGGTTCGTTGTCGAAATCAAATCCAAAAGGAGGCTGATTGTGCGAGACGTCTGCCCTTGAATGCTGTGGCGCAGCAAGACAACCGTCAAATAATGAAAGCAGTTGGTGGCACAGTCTTATCGCCATTCCACTGAAATTGAAGGTCATAAGTCGTCGTAATACACTAATTTCACCGAAAAGCTTAATTGTGCATGTTGTTTTCACTTCTTGTTTTGCCTGATTTTACGCCACATTTTTGGGGATGGCCTCGGTCAAGTAAAAGACTGGTAATAAGACAAGATAAGTTGTTGAAAAGTAAGGCGTTTGTGGTAGTATTCTATTTTCTTGCAATCTGCTTCTAATGTATTGTGATATTTATCACAGTTATATTTTTCTGCTTGCATTTAGACAAAGGCTATGCGTCCAGGCCAAGGCCATGGTAGATTTTCTGCAATAATGCCTTTATTTTACTTAAAAGCCTAACAGCGCCACGTTGAAATGACTTCAAATTCTAACATTCCTTTGTGCATCGTTTTCGATTAAGGGAAATTAACGTTTTACTGAATTGGATTTAAATTGGACAGCCCCGTTCACCACCACCACCACCACCAACTTCTTTGAGAGGTTTTATCCCTTCCACCCAGCAACGCTTCTCAATTACATCCATTGTGATTTGCTTACCTCGATGGAAAATCCCCTTGTCACGTTATGCCCCTTAATATTGAAGGGCTCCCAGAAGTTAACTTAGGATTATGTCAACGCTTTATGACGGTAATGCTTCCTCTCCCAGACTAACCACATCGCTTGCACAAATCCCTGGGGCTTATGCTTGTCTACTCTCTAGTTTGCAAACACTTAAACCTTCTGGCTTAGGCTTTGCTCTGTTTCGCCGACCAGAACGTGATAAACTGCCAAGTGGTCAAGACGATGTGTGTGTGTGTGTTTTAATCTGGTTTTAAATTTCAAACTCGTGTTTAAGCCATTTCTCCCCAAATTGTTGAAAATTAATTTAGAAGAGTGGCATTACTACGCACTTCAAATCTCAGTATGGCCAAAAAATGCCTCATTGCTGCATCACTTTGTACCGCGATTGAGGTTGCTGCCGTCTTAATCACTCATTGACTACTAACAACTAATACCACCTCAGAGGCCCATTCGAGCTCTCCTTTTTATGCTAAACCTTGGCTTATGCAGTGCCGCCGCTGTTTTTAAATCGCTCTCACCTGGTTTTTCGCAGGTTTGCAATCTCGACTATGAGTTTACGAAACCCACCCCTCGTTATTGCCTCAGTCATCCCACTGTCTCGTGATCCTCTGATGCAGACGGGCGTTGCAAAATGGTTTGTGTGCCCTCGTTCTTAAAATTGCATTCACTTTGTTTTATGCATGCATAGCCAGCGTGGCAAACATTGCCCAATTCCACGTTGTTTGCTCTCCGTCAAATAATGACAGGCAGGAACGCAGCAGCAGTGCCTGATTGCAAAGTCCACACTAGGCAGTGTCGCCAGTAAATAACACCCTTGGACAGAGTTGTCAACAAAGTAATCTCCGCGCAAATCTGATGTCTCTTTCCAAAGTGACATTTTTGTGCCACAGGTCACGGGATTAATAAAACTGCATGAAACAAGTCAGTAGCACGATATCCTGATTCTGCGGTAATGAGCAGCTTTGTTGGCTGAATGTTGTAATTGCACTGTTATATGAAGACTTGTATTTTTGCCGTTGTTGGCGAATTGCATGAAATCAATGCACTCGTCAACTGTTGCGTCTAACATCTCAGACTATTGTTGTCGTCTATGGAATCAACGTCGTTCGCTTGTGGCGATATTCTGTTTGGCTAAATGTCGTATGAAGTCAAATTTTAGCTACTCCCTACGTTAAGTTCCATTCTTGTGAACATCACTCATAGGACTGTAATACAAAGTGCTTGAGTCCCTAAATCTCACGAATGCAAGTCACGGGCTTAGCTACAATTCAAACTGGGTGCGTCAAGGACGTCAAATGACGGTCGACTAGCGTGATAATAGGTCGAAGCCCAGGCCTTGGTCTATGCAATCTAAGTACTCACTGGCAAATAAAGAAGACAACTTACTTTTGGTGTAAGTGCTACTGGTTTTTCCTGGATTAAAATGTGTAACATTTTGCGCAAAAGGGACTATTGTCTCGCAGGCTTGATTTCAATTTCTGCGCCATTTTTTAACCTTTTGGCCAAATGCACACACCGACTAACATTATCCGCTTGTAGTAATGCGCCTGTTATTAGCTAGTTGAAGAATGATCCTGGAAAGAGACGTCTGTCTGAATTCCGAAGGTAGACTGTGCTAACGCAAAATTTACACCCAAAAAAAGGAACGGTATCATTCGTAAACACTGACATTGCGGTGTGGTCTTCGGTTCCATGCTTCAATTATTCTAAAGAACAGGCCTTGAATTCACATTTCGAATAGAACATTCCGTGTAGGCGTTGAACTAGACATAGGGGTATCCTTTTTGACCCTGGTTTTGTGCACAAACCTATGGTCCAGTATCCCGTTGTAGTCAATGTACCCCATCAAGTACCACTCCAGGTGGCATGAACAGACAGCGCTCCGTCCCGGAAACTCCGTCGGCACTGTTCAATGCCCTCTTCCGCCACACGGGCTGGTCCGGCTCGATTACTCAGGATAGCTGGACGGAGGCCATCACGGCAACCGCGCCACTTGTCGCCAAACCTCTGAACCATCTCAAATCAGTTAACTTCGAGGTAGGACCTTACTCTTGTCTCAGCTGTTTCCCGTCTTCTATTAAAGCACCATTTTTGTTATTCCCTTGAAAGTTTGCTGCACTTCCGTTGTCCTGCGTTTTCACATGAATTTGCTTATAGCGTTTAGCGGAGTTAGTGTTTTAAGGTACAGGCAGCATACAGCAAGTTGTACTGTCAATACATAATTTTACCCGTAGCTTCTTTCCCATTGGCGTTTACCATTTTACGATCTGTCGTGTTCGCTGTTTGCACTTAATCGATACTTTTTCACCCAGGAGTGTTCCTACGCTCACCTCCTCGCGCCACGCAAGTCGCAAGGCCAGCCAGTTCGGCGAGCACGTCGCAGAGCCGAGACGGTTGGCGACGATGTTGGCCTTGCTTCAAGGTCCCAGCCTCCGCGTGGGTCTCCGCAGTGTCGTACTCGATCCCAGACCCTCTCGCTATCCAGCGTAGCCTCAGCGAGCTCCAAACACGAGGACAGTCCCTTCGTTGTCGGTCAGCAGCAGGTGCAGTCGTCAAGCACGTCAGCGAGTAAGTTGCAATACTCCCAGCACGTTGTACTCCTTAGGTTTTAGTTAAAAGTTCCAACCCCTAGCTACTTTTCTTTCGTAAAGCCTTCTTGTCAGTGAATTATTGTTGTTATTGAGGTTGGGCTGCCAGACCTCTGATCGATATCAGTTTCGCATTGGAAATGTGAGCAGTGGTATCGATTTAAATACCACAGTTTACCAATGTCGCCAATCTCTGGTTTAATGAGTACAGTTTATACCGTCGTCTTCATTGCCTTTCTTGTTAGCTGGAACACCCGGCATTACCCGAGGCGGGCCATCGGTCCGTTTTCGTGCCGAATCATCAAGCTCTGAGAACGTCGATTTACTGCAGGGGGCGGTGGCGGCGGCGGCGGCGTCACATAATGCGCCTCCCCTCACCCCTGTTCTCTACGACGATCCCCTGGTCAACTACAACCCTCACCTTCTTGATGACCCTACGATCCCTCAGAAGACGAATTTTCGGGTCTTCTCCTTGTCGGGCTACGTGGTGAGTGGAGCCACGTGCTTTCATGCTCTGGGCAATGCACTAGAGGCAACTTTCGTTTCTCCATCAGTTTGGCCAGTCAAGCTGACGTTGAGACGACCTATGCCTTGCCTTCAATGCAAAGGACATCTAACGTTTCTTGTTCATCCCACAACTGCACCAACCAGCCACAGGGTTTGACGTCTGACTAGTGTTCCACGGATTTACTGGCACGTTGGTTAAAGCGCGTTCGGGTGTAAACGCACATTTTTTGCAGTCATCAAGCTTTGAAATAACGCGCAACCATAAATGCGTGCTGCTATCCATGGAAAAAATTGCAAATTACAACAGTTACCTTATCAGATAGTCGTTTGGTCCGTATTCCAAGTTTTATTGATGGAAGTCATGCACTCCGAGGTGTTTTGCCAACCGATTGGCCAGAGAATTTCGAGAGCACATAGGATCGGTGCTTGTTTCAACTGTTCACATCGTGTCTCGTGCCTGAAATCCCGCCAAATCGACCCCAGACTATGAAACGATGTCATTTTTCGAGAGCTGTTAACTTTACCCACTGCATACAAGTCGAGTGGATTCTTTATTTCTCAGGCATGTCGGCTTCTGTTTGCCAGAACCCCATTCCATTATAAATGAATTTATGCTTAATTAAAAGAAATTCACTTTAGGTGTGAGTTAAACCTCCCTCTTTATTCCAATTGTTTTTGAAACAAGTTATACTGTTTAGGCTTTGTCTCGTACAAAACATGTAAATGGCAGATAGTTTTCTCTCGCGAATTGCAACCTGATAGTCCCAAACACATTTCAAGTGTGTTGTGCCCTGGTTATTTGGAATTTAACTCGGTTTTATGCAGCGATTACATTATGATCAAGCATACAGGTTTCACATTGTGTTTGGTGGCAATTTCGTGCTCCCTGAATTGGCTAGTGCCACCTCGACCAAAATAGTAATTTGAGGCTGTGTAGGGTCAGGGTCGCTCGTTTTTCTTCGACTGCAGTTGACAGTAAACATTTGAAGTGGTCGCTTAGTTGGATGAAAACAGACCAAAGTCCACGAACGAAGCACCACGCGGCTCTGGTTGGTGATCGTGTAGACAGCCACATTTCCATCGTTAGGATGCTGCTTTACTAAAAGATGATAATTTCGAGAATTTTGATTGGCTGCGTTAACTAAATGTCTTCTCATTTTTGAAGAACCCATCTATTAAGCAGCCTAATGCTTATTATCACCATCAACGTCATCATCCACTTCTTCGTGAGCCTCGGCTGCCTCATTGGTCGCGTGGAAATGAAATGCGTCAGCGTGCTAGCCTTTGTGCTTCTTGTCGACGTCGAATACAAACTAAGAGCTACAAAATAATATACTTGGTGTTTACTGCAAGAGTAAACCAACACCGTCATTAGCACATAATCACGGCCGAGGGTTTTCAAAACGAATTTTCTTGCTGTTTGTGAACACCAAAATTGCCTAATTTTCATCCCTCTCTATGTCAGTCGCGTGCTGTAGATTGTGAAGAGAAGCGTTGACTTGGCGTTCATAAAATTCGGACGTGATGTCTTGTAATCGGGTTGCACATACCATCTTAAACACTAGTTTCGTGCCAAATTAGTATTTATATTTTCTTGTTTGGCAAAGTACTTAAATCATCTTCAACAAAAAAATACCTTCTTTGGATTCGTTTTCACATATACGATTATTTGTCCCTGTCCGTAGTTGTTGGGGTCCAGGTTATACCCCTACGATGGCTCATCGTCGGTTTTCGTCATTGTTTACACGAATGCCCTGACCACGCAACGTCAGGGGGTGGTGAGTCGTCCACGGCGCCCTCTGGGTATCGGTTATCTAAGGGGGTGTTGTCTTGGTTACAGGCAATCGCAACAGTAATATAAAAGCGTTCCAGGCGTCTTTACAATGAAATTAACAAAATTTTTGGACAATCACAGGAACATTTTCCCCCCATAAACGAAGCTTTACTTACTGTTCTCCTTTATCGGTCCTTAATACGCATCCACTTGAGCGGTTGAATTATCTTGATGTAGCATTTAGAACCCCAACCGTTTTGTTCTTTGATGTTTCCGCCTTTGCTCTGCATCGCTCTAGGTAAATCACCGCGCTTCGAACAGTTTCGTACACAGTGCTCCCAGGAACACCAATAGAGTTATCTAAAATATTACTTCCCTTATTTTGGAAATTCATTTACTCGCATCAAGCCTGTGTTCCTCGTGTTTTAACTCGCCGAAAGTGACAACTTTTGACGCTTGGTTTTTTTTTTAAATGTGCGCTTCAGACCAGCATTCTCGGCTACCGACGTCCGAATGAGCACAAACGTAACATCAACCGCGAATTCCACCAGCGTTTTCCAAACATCCAACTCACTTTGACTAAAATGCGAAGCATCAAACTCGCTCTCCTCTCGATTGCCTTTCGAGTAAGTTTTTCACGTTGCTGTTTTGTAGACAGCTTGGTACGAAATTTTGCACTCTCTATAAATCGAGTCGGGAAAGTTTCTTGACTTTGCAGTGCTCCACGTGAGGCGATCGCACTTATAAGGTGGCTGAGACGTGATTTCTAAATCCTTCGTTTCAATTTTTCTACATAAGCGGCTTGCCTATGTCACCAAGCAGAATATGCTCGAGTTTGATTAATTAATTGTGACATTGACTTGCAGTTTGTCCGTAGTCAACCACCAAAACTTTCTTTTTTCATGCCTATTAAACTACTCTCGAAATCTCACGGAGATTGTCCGCTTTGTGAAGCGACTTCTTTAATGCGTTTTAAAAGTACGCATCAACCCCTAATGAACCCACTAGATAAGGCTCAGCATTATGACCACTCGTCGTAGCTGTTTAGTAGAAAGTTCTGGGCTTATTACGTCATATGTACATTTCGATTGATTAACTGATTGAAGAACCCTTGCGACACCTTCCCAGTCAGTAGCTGTACTTTAAGTAATGCGCTTTCGAATCTGGCGGTAGTGAATTAACTCCCCTACTTAGTGCTTTATTAAAACCCCAAGAGAGTAAATAACCTTTTTTTCCATATTCACAATCCCGGAAAAACCATAACTTTGATTATGAACGGTTTAGTTTTCAAAACGTTGGTACGATTTTGCCCGCTCTTGTTTGCCCTGTGTAAGAATAAAGCACGGCTTCCCGCGAATTGCACTTTTTAAAAAAAAAATAAACAATAACATCTTGTTAATTAACCGCGCACTTGGTGGAACGGGTTGTTGACCCCGTTTGTCTTGTTTCTCAAGACCACCCAATTACCTCTGCCTTCTTTTCCGAGGTCACCTGATCGCCTCGGGTCAGGCGTGTGCTTCGAATTTCAATTTAAAATAAATTCTAATTTTGTTTGTGCAAAGTAGCTCTCTGTGGAGCGCAAGGTGTGACCGTCGTTTCAGTGAAGAATTTCTATATCCAGGCCAAAGTGCGTCTGTGTTTTTGTGTGGGCGTTGAATGCTCGTGACGACAACAGCGACAACACATTGCAACCAGTTATCTTCTTGATTGTCCATTATTATTTACTCATTTAGTCCTGAACCGTGATGTTTTTTTTGCTCTGCAATTTATTTTCGAGTGAATTATTTCGCTAAGCTGGTAATTGAGTCTCCTGCAGCCATTAAGTCTGTTTTTTCCCAGTATCACTCCTTTACTAAATCTAACAGGAAAGTGAGTATAGCTGTCTTGTGTGTCGCACACAATTCAAGGGACAAATTGTCAACGTGTAATATGGAGATCTGCAAGTCGATAATGCCTTGCGGCTTAGGAACCCCCGCCAACTCATTGTTGCGACTGCGTAGATCGTGAAAACGACATGTTTGTTACTGCAGCACCTCGAAAACAGCCATTTCACTACCAATCATCCTCGACTTAAATGACCACATACATCCTTCACTTTTGACCCAAAGTTTTCCTTTAAAGTACTTTGTTGCAGAAATGCGACACTTTTAAACCACATGAGAAGGGGTTTTATTTTGCAGCTGAATTTGGACTTGTGGATTGTGGCGCATGCGTACGTCCTCTTCGAGAAAATGATTTTAAAGGTAAGAACCGTTTTATTCACCTCCTTGACTATGTTAGTTGCACGTGTTTTCCTACATTTCCCAAATACAAAGGGTTTCTCAACCTTAACTCGACGCCTTCTCTTCTTTTGCATTGTCCAGCTATTCGTGTGCAAAGTGAATCGAAAGTTGTGCGCGGGAGCCGCGATGTTGATAAGCGCCAAGTTGAACGATCTCAAGGGCGCAGCTCTGCTCAGCCTCATTCAGGTATCTTCACCTCTCCCTCCGGTCTCTTTCTTTGCAAACTCCCACCTTTTCAGTAATCCAAAGTTTCCCTTGATGTAAACGAAATGCATCGCATTTGCGATCAGACTCCACGCAAAGCTGCTGCTCCAGCTACTGTAAAGAATGGGTCATTCAGTGTCGCATAGTCCCATGTCGAGGATGGTCATTTGGTGGTCCAAAATACCCTTGGCTTGCACATTGGTCCATTCAGGGCATCCACTGAACGCCAGAAATTGAATCACACACGTCGACCCCGGTGCCAATTCTCGCCTAGCCTATTAGCATTCTACGCATCCTTATCAATTCTCACCGAACTGGACTGAGTAAAGTCAGGTTTAACTAGTAGACACGCCACACTGTAGAATTGTAGAAAACTAGTCATTTCAAACACGAGTGGTTACGAAGACATCCCTGACGGCACTACTGATGCCTTTTTTGTATCCATCACTTTGGAGACAGATGCTAGCGTTGAAGCGCATTACACGGCGTTTAATGCGACAGAATCCCGCAACGAGGCGTTTTACCTCCAAGTTGGCAACCACACTCACTGGAGCATGAGTTGGACAGCAGTGGCCGTGGCAAATGTAGGCGTTGTGTGCGAATGGGAATCGCCAAGGTCGGAATAGTCTGTGTTACATGTCGAAACACCAAGGTGCAAAGTAGAGGTGCATGCGCTAGTTGGAGAGGCGAGAGTATGTGTGGTAGTTTCGTGTCTGG